AGTGGTTCTATTAACTCATGCGGTTCAATTGCATATGTATCACAGGTTGTACTTTATGATTTAGAGATGGCTTAAGATTTCGCAGTTGAACTGCATAAAACTTAAATTTTTCATTGGTTTTTGTAGGTACCTTGGATATTATCTGGGTCTTTACGGGATAACATTTTGCTTGGAAAAGGATTTGACACAAGGAGGTAGATTATTAAAATGTTGTCTTTACCAATAAGAATCACTTGTTCTGCTAATGGTGGTGCTTTTTTATTTTTCTTAAAAGCTGAAATACCTGGTGTTTATTGTGTATTATTTTAATTATTATTCTGTGTTGGAGCATTTATGTAGATATGAAGAAGTAATACAAGCATGTACCCTTGATGTTGACATCTCAACAATGATTGGGGGAGATATGTCACATATTGGAGAGAAAGGTCTCAACTTATCGGGTGGACAGAGAGCCCGTCTAGCATTGGCAAGGTCATATTAAAAACATTGTGCAGTTGACACTGGAAAGTCCAAAGTTTTTGTACTAACAACGTGATCATATACTTGCAGGGCTTTGTATCATGACTCTGATGTATACTTGTTCGATGATATACTTAGTGCAGTTGACTCACAGGTTGCTTCATGGATCCTCGAAAAAGCCATTATGGGACCACAAATGAAGCGAAAAACACGATTATTAAGCACCCACAATCTCCAGGTAATGATTTTCTGATCTCACCAAAGCAAATTGTAGCATGTTGTTTCTAAATGCATGAAACGAGCATTTAATTTGATAGCAAGAAAATGAAGATAGCTTCCACTAAAACAACAACAACGTTTCCTTTTTCTTCAGGCTATTTATGCTGCAGATATGATTGTGGTCATGGCTAATGGATTTGTCAAATGGTTCGGGACATTGGACAGTTTCTTGGCAACTCCATATTTAAAAATATCTAATCCAGATAGTTCATCTGCTGTCTCAGCAACAAGTTCACAAAAAAATAAAGGACCAAGCACCTTTGAATTCAACACTAAAGATGTGCTTGACAATGGTTCAGTGGTTGATCAGGAGGAACAAAGAGATCAGACTGAAGCAGAGGGCAGGAAAGAAGGCATGGTTGAGATAATTGTGTACAAGTGAGTTGTTTTGCAATATTGTTGATTTACTGCATTGAATAGTGGAAGCTTCTTAAACTTCCTACTACAACTAAACCGAAATGATTATTTCTACAGAAAATATGCAACACTTGCAGGGTGGTCAATGGTATTTCTGATATTTGTGAGTGCATTCTTAATGCAAGCATCTCGTAATGGCAATGATCTTTGGTTGACTTACTGGGTGGATAGCAGTTCAGGCACCAATAACACAAGATTTTATCTGGTAAGAGTGCTCTCTATCTAAGAATACTGAATTTGAACAGTTATTATTATAAATATGTTATCTATATCTGGTCACTCAAAACAGAAGACAACGTGTGAAATAAATAAGATCTGATGTGCATTTTTGCTTATCAAAGATTTTGATCTGTGTAGACTATCCTTGCTGGGTTTGGCATAATCAACTCCTTTTTCACATTGGGAAGGGCATTTTCTTTTGCATATGGCGGTCTGTGTGCAGCAATTCAGATACATGCCGATCTTCTTGGCAGTCTAATTGGTGCCCCAGTTTCTTTTTTCGACCAAAATCCCAGTGGCCGAATACTGAATAGGTTAGTATGTCAGGAATCTTCAGCAAACTCTGCAATACAGAAACATCCTTGATGAACTTTATGAACTTCCAGATTATCGTCAGACCTCTACACTGTTGATGATTCCCTTCCATTTATCCTCAATATATTTGTGGCCAACTTCTTCAGCTTACTTGGCACCCTTGTTGTTTTGTGTTATTCACAGGTAAATATGCAATAGTTTTACTATAATTCTAATGTGGGCCGACATTATATTCAAATAAATTAATTCACTTAGCTTGTAACTCATGAATGTTCCCATGCAGGTTACATTTCTACTCATCTTAGTCCCTCTCTGGCTTATCTACAGCAAAGTGCAGGTACTGTTATCCATTTCCTTAGTTTGTGCTTTTCTTCACTAAGGCTATGGTCCTTCACATTCTTCCAATTTTTTAAAATTCATTATTCGAACATTCTCAATGCATGTTATGTGTTAGCCTAAATACATTTACAGTGTGGAACCTGGTTCTTTTGCACTGTACATATGCTCTACTTTTGGAGAAACAAATTAACATTCTGTGCAGTTCTATTACAGGTCGACATCACGTGAAGTAAGACGGCTTGACAGTGTTGCTCGTTCACCTATCTATTCATCTTTTACAGAGACACTTGATGGTTCATCAACGATAAGAGCATTCCAAAAGGAGGTATGTTAATTACATCAGGACTATTGAAAATTATATGAAGGATACCAGAGCCTTTGCCTTCATTTGAACCTAGCTGTTAGAACTTTAAAGCTCAAGTGACTTGTGTTGATGTGATTTGTTCAAGATACTGACGGTAAAATACACGGGGTTTTTTCTTAGAGAGGTTCATCCAACAACTGACGCTATATCAGAAAACATCCTACTCTGAACTTACTGCTAGTCTGTGGCTCTCATTAAGACTCCAGGTATAACTCTTTGTCAAGGGATAGTAACTTCATCTTCTGTTATGAAACCATGAATCTTTATCTATTAGTTAGGCCTATCGCGCAGTCAATGTATTAACTAGCAGATCACTTTAGTTGTTGGCAGGGTTGGTCATTTTGTTCATCGCCGTGATTTCCGTTGTTGGCTTCCATAGCAACTCTCCTGTTAAGTTTGGTACACCTGGACTGGTAAGTATGACAGGGAAGAAATTACCAACTCCAGGCTCATTTGTTTACATTTCTGTTCCTGTTGAAAATATTGGTATGTTTGAACTATGTAGAATTTAAGATAGAGAAAATAAGAGATTACCAACTCCAGGCTCATTTTTTTACATTTCTGTTCCTGTTGAAAATATTGGTATGTTTGAACTATAGACTTTGATAGAGAAAATACACTGCAGGTTGGCCTGGCGTTATCGTATGCAGCACCTGTTGTATCACTGTTGAATAGCTTCTTAACCACTTTTACAGAGACAGAAAAGGAAATGATCTCTGTTGAGAGGGTTGTTGAGGTAAAAAGCCAAGAAATATTCTGCCTGTTACTGACAAGCATATTTTCCTCTAGTAATTCAATAATGCTTGCAGTATGTCGGTATACCTCAAGAAGAACTCCAGGGATCAGAAGCTCCTGATAGAAGTTGGCCAACAGAAGGGAAGATTGAGTTTGAGCATGTAACTCTAAGGTACAAAGCGGACCTACCACCGGCTTTGAATGAAATCTCATTCCATATTGAATCTGGCATGCAGGTATGGTAACTGTCTGTATATTCTTATTGAGTCATTCAGAAAACTACCATTAAACTTCCCTGGTTTATTAGGTTGGAATAATAGGAAGGACCGGAGCAGGAAAATCCAGTATACTGAATGCACTTTTCCGTTTAACTCCAATATGCAATGGTCGCATCTTAGTAGACGGTTTTGATGTGGCCAAAGTTGCTGTCCAAGATCTTCGTGGACATTTTGCAGTAGTACCCCAGAGTCCGTTTTTGTTTGATGGTTCTTTGAGGTAAACTATTAGTTGCTCTAATTTCTCTCTTTTCTGGCTTCTACAATTTTGTGGGCATTGGTTGGACATTTAGAGAACTAAACAGAGAAACCTATGTCCAGCATTCTAATTTTGAGTTGACAAACAGGGAAAACCTAGACCCTTTCGGTATAACAACAGATATCAGGATATGGGAAGCTCTTGAAAAATGCCATATGAAGGCAGAGATAGAATCAATAGGAGGACTCAATATTCATGTGAAAGAAAGTGGTGGATCCTTTTCAGTAGGCCAGCGACAACTCCTATGTCTCGCCCGTGCTATCCTAAAATCATCAAAGGTATCTATACTATGTTGGTCTTTTCAAACTTTCTGCAAGTTTCATCAGCAGCAAAAGCTTATGACGTTAAGCTGCGTGCCACGTAGTTGCTCAAAGAAGTTAAACTTGCTAATGATTCTACAGGTACTTTGCCTTGATGAGTGCACAGCCAATGTTGACAATCAGACAGCATTCCTGTTACAGAAAACTATTTCTGCTGAATGCAAGGGCATGACGGTCCTCACCATAGCCCACCGCATTTCAACTGTGATGAAGATGGACAATATTCTAGTTCTTGATCAAGGCAAACTGGTAAGCCATGCCTTTATGCTTTTATAACCTCTTAGTGGTGAGATATACCCGAAGAGTCAAAATCTGGATGCAACAAAATGCTTCACAGAAATGAACAAACGGCAACGTTAATCAGATGCCCTTCATTTGACATGTGCAGCAGCGTGGTTATACTATGTTCAAATCATTAGAAATGTGCCCTTCGCTCACCTTGTTAGAATGGTATCTAACTCTATTTCCTCCAAATTTAGGTTGAAGAAGGAAACCCGGAGGTTCTTATGAATGATGACAGATCAAGATTCTCACGATTTGCGAAGGCATCTATGTGATCCTAGGAAAATCATGTGCCACTCTGTTGTACTACTAGATGAAACACTAGCGCTTAGCTGCATCTCTCACTTTGATCAATGATACCGTCTTCAGCTCGCATGCGCATCTAAGAGCTTATAGGAAGCCTGATCCTCTAGCTTATGAATCGATTTGTCGGAACTCAAGGTTTTCTGAAATGGATCTAGGATATAATTTGTTATATCAAAGTATTGTCATCACAGCAAAGTTGAAATGAACCCAGATGAAATACTCATAAACCAACAATCACAACCGAACCAGGCAAGTAAGCAGTAGTACTGCAGTAATTGCAATCCACGGTACCAGCAAATCTGGATCCAATTTCAGGCACTATATAACCCGTCCAAAATGTACATATACAGGGGGGCAGGAACAGGGCTGGTTCATTCCACTAACCTAATCCCACAGAAAGACCACACGGCGGGGGAGGAGAGGAGTGCTGCTCAGGCGACGTAGATGTAGTCGTCGTCGTGGCGGCGGACGCGGTCGGGGTCGACGGAGCAGATGACGTAGGCGGCGTAGAGGACGCCGGGGAGGTAGCCGAGGATGGTGAGCAGCACGCTGATCCAGAACTCCATCTGCCGCGGAAACGGGGAGGAGGAGAGAGAGAGAGAGAGAGACACGGTGATTAGCCGGCGAAGAAAGGGAGGGGGTTGAGGAGGGGAATGGCGAGGTAAAATTGGTGGCGTACGGAGCAGCAGCCGTGGCGGAGGCAGACGCCGAGGGGCGGGAGGAGGATGGCGCACATGATCTCCAGGCACCGGCAGCAGCACGAGCACAGCCCCATCGCGCTGTCTCCGGCTGGGTTGCTCGCGGTCGCCGGACTCGGAGGCGGAGGCGGAGCTGCGGGAGGGAAGTCGACCAACAACGATGCGTGCGCGGCTCTGTTTTTGTGTGGGGGAGATCGCGACTCGGTTGGATTTGGGGACACGGAGACGCCACTTGTGCACGGCAGCGTCGCGCTTTACAGGTCACGCTGATCCGGAACCCCATCTGCTCCAGCAGCAACACAAAAGAAAACGGCATGCAAAAGAGAGAGAGACGACCAGATGGCCAGGCATCCGGTGAATCAGCTGGTGAAAGAGATGCATGGAGCTGTGTTTTGATTTTCGGTTTGAGCTTTTTTTCGCCCTAGGCCGAGATGGCCGAATTTCGGCCATTTTCAAAAAATTCGGCTGAAATTTGACCAAATTTTGACTGCAATTTGACTTAAATTTGATCAATATTTACCAAATTTGAGCAATTTCGGCCTAATTATACTTTTCGCCTTTGGCCGAAATCCACTTTTTGCGGCCGAAAATCAAAACACAGGCATGGAGGAAATGAAACACGGTGAGCTCGCTCGTTGGCCGGTGTGTGTGTGTGCTGCGTACGCACCTTTAGCCCCGGTTCATATCTCAAATCGGGACTAAAGGTCTAATCTTTAGTCCCGGTTTGAGACACGAACCGGGACTAAAGAGTGCGATGCCCTTTTGTTCCGGTTTGTGTCTCAAACCGGGACTAAAAGGCTCATTTGAACCGGGACTAATGCTTTTAGATGCTTGAACCGGGACTAATGCTCACATTAGTCCCGGTTCGTAATGCAACCGGAACTAATGTGTATATTGCGCTGTGACCAAAGCCATGTTTTCTACTAGTGAGGCGTTGCTCGAAAGGCAGAGCCGGCACAACCGGACATGGACGCACAAGCGCTGGCAGCGCAGGGGTGGTCATGGACTCCAACGCTGCCAGCTACACGTCCTACGTGTCGTCATCCAACTTTCGGGGACGCATGTGGCAGATGGACAGTGACATTACATCTACGTCCATCATCGACCTCACGTCCACCGGCGCCGGCGACGGACAGCTCGGGGACTCCTCCGAGGATGAATAGGGCATGTGAGGCGGCAGTGCATTGTGTCCCAAGTCGGCCGGTTTGTCTCCCATGTTCTACTCTTCTTTGCTGGAGATCGCATATTCACTTCACGGGTTTTGAACCCTACCGCCTCGCATGAAGACAACAGATGGAGAACGTGGTCGCTGATACGAAATACAAAGGAAGTGGGCGATGGCCGCCGTTGTAGTATAGGTTTAGGGTCCGACCGCTATTTTGAATGAAATATGGTTGAATTGTATTGAATGTGCTCCGATTTATATGAAAATCCGCTGTTTTTTTTTGCATGGATTTAGTCCAGTTAATTGAAATTGTGTTTGAAATGTATGCGGGCAACATTGGATTGTCAGCTTCTGCGTCCGTGTCCGTAGACGGATGCAAGAGCAAATTTGCGGGTCAACGTTGGGAGATGCCCTAACTATGCAAAGGCGCTCACTTTGACGCTTCATTTTATTAAACTAAAGTTCACCCTTTGTAAAAAAACACACAATGAGGCACATAGGAAGGTTGAGATTTAAATGGGTCAATAATAAACTCAATTTTACCAGCAAAAATAAATAAAAAAGAACTCAATTTGATACAATGGCAAGGCCTCGCCCAAATAATCTCGTTGTGGAACTGACAATCCACACGGCATGGAATCTTCAAACACGGTCAGGCGACCAAGACGTAGGAGGCGGCGGTGGCGGAGTCGTCGTCTTCGTCGGCGTCGTCGTCATCGCCATTACTGGGGCGGTTGAGGAATGCGACGAGGAGCAAGACGCAGAAGAAGGTGAGGCAGTTCCGCACGTAACCCATGACGGGGGCTTGAATAACGAAGAGAAGGCAAAAGTAGTAGCCGATGATGGTGCGCAGCACGCTGATCAAGAACCGCATCTGATCCGGCACCAAGCGGCAAGAAAGAGTGAGCGACAGCATGCATCGGCTGAATCGCATGCATGGAGGAAACGAAACATGGGGTGTACTTACGGAGCAGAAGCCGTGGCGGAGGTAGACGCGGAGCGGCGGGAGGAGGACGGCGCACAGGATCTCCAGGCACCGGCGGCACCGCGAGCCCGGCGCCGTCTCCATCTCCTCCTCCGGTGGATGCCGCTGTCCCCGGTGCAGGTGCTGCTCGCGGTCGCCGGAAGCGGAGGCGGGGGTGGGGCGAGGAAAGGACTGACGGAGCGCTCCTTGCTTCTGTCCATTCGGTGGAACGAAGGGTATAAACTCCTCGACCAGCGACCGACCGCGCGCGCGCTGACTCGTGTCACAATATTTAGATTAGACTAGACATTTCCGACTGTGCCAGTTGCAACTTGAAATTTTAGACCAGGGTTGCGAAGTTAGACCCGTCCAGTCGAGTTTCGGCAGGAGACCAGCTGGGTCGAGGTTTTGGAGATGATCTTTTTTGTTTTTTGAAACCGGTTTTGTAGATGATCGTAACACAGATTTCGTGTCTGGCTCACTAATCACTACGATCGGCCAAGGATGAAACCATTTGACGTCCTGACGGGGGCCGATGTAGCAGAGGATGGTGAGCAACATGCTTATCCAGAACTTCATCTGCTACGTACGCGGCACACACCGGCAAACGATAGCAACCGGGTGAACCGAGCTGCCAATACAGCCCTGCAACTGGCACATCACGGCGTCACAATCACACCCTCATTTACCTCCGTCCGGAATTACATCCATTTCCACGACAACTAATTCCGGACGGACGTCTATTTGCACGACGACTAATTCCGGACGGACAAAGAGAGTAATTGCTCGACTTACCAGAAAACTGAACCAACACCGAAACCTGATACTACATCCCCTCAGAAAACAAAAACAATAAACAAAAGAGAAAAACAAAAACTGATACCACAAATCAGGATAGCAATATGCAGGATTTCGTGTCTGACTCGCTACGATTGGCAAAGGATCAACTTCATCCATTTGTTACTACTGATACAATCGACTAGTTTTTTTGATTCCAGTGCTGGACACTGCACAAACACGGATGTTGGTAGAATTCAGAAGAACACCACTTGTATGAAGGGTGTATTGACAGACAAGACTATTTCGGAAGGAAAAAAAAAGGCACATGATGCATTATTCTCTCAGATAAATATCTGTCATGAACGAGGTTCTACAGTACAGATTGTGTTATCAACACCAGGAAGAGAAACAAAGAGCAAATTCTCACAGGCATAAACACTTATTCTACAACTGAGCTTTAAAAGGAATTTAAAAGGTACCACACTAAAGTTTTGTTGTGTAGTTCTTCATATCATACATGACACCTGGAACAGCCTTTTCTGGATGCCATACGTGATTTACTTCGGAAATTGCTATTGTCAAGCAAGTCCAGCGACCGTTGCTGCCAGCAACAAGCAATTTTTTTTTTCTGATCCCACATTTCCATCAAAGACATTTTGCGTATCTTCTCTACCCTGTGGGTATTGCATCAATCATGACAAAAGCCGTAATTGTGCATAAGTTTGAGTCAACCAGGTCATTGCAGTTCCTCCTTATGCTCTTCAGCATTTCCCAATCAAAACATATTGAATCTATCAAGCAGAAGTACATTCTTTCATGAATTAGAGTTTCTATGACTGATTTTGCCATTGGATAGCACTAAGACATGCCAGGAATAGACCATGACCCATAGACAGTTCGGAGCCTTTGGACCGGAAATTGAGCACACAACATACATCAGTTTTCACAGGGAGTCCTGGTCGCAGCTATACCAGGAACCGACCATGGCCCACATGCTGATGATCATTCAACAAAACAGCCAAAACTACTCCTATTGCGGGCCAACAACTAATTAACAGCATGCCCTTTTGCAAACTCATACAAAACAAGATTTGCTTCAAGTGATCCTCCAAATAGCAGCTAGTATAACCGATCAATTTTAACTTCAAGTTTCTGTAGAGGCCCCCACCCCATTCTCCAGTGGGAGATCTCACTGGCCATCACAACGAGAAGTCTTGCTTCGCTATGCTGCAATTTTTTAGCTCTTGTTTTCTGAAAAATTGCCCAGAAGGATATGTAATGTGATATGCTAAAAATCAGAATAACAGGCTCCGCAAGGAAAACATTCCTAAAGCATGCGGCATAGCGGGCTTTCCACAACGTCCAAATAACCGCTCCTACACCAACACTACTAAGTTCCTCGATTTTGGATCAAAACTATTGCGGCATCCATGTATGATGTATTATCATCAAAACAAATAGGGGCCGGCAGGGATTAAACGCACACCTCACCACATTTCGTACATATATCTTGCCACTGCACATCTGAAAAAAAGTGATCAATACTCTCATTCTCATCACAGAATGGACATTTAAGCGTTCCCCGTCCATCCTCTATGTTACAAAACGTCTCTGGTTAAAATGTTCTCCTAAAAGTTAACCAGAGAAATACGTTTACTTTTTCAATACAACGATTTGATGCGGCAGCAATTATAATGAGAGTATTGATCACCTTATAGGACAACTAGAATAGTATCACTACAAATATCAGTCAACTGGTACCAAATAACAGCAAGGTCACGCTCTACGCACCTTGCACGTCTCAGCGCCGCCACATCTCAGCGCCTTCCACGCAAAGCTTCTTCTCCCTGCAAAGCTCCGCCGCCAACACATATTTAGGCATATGGTACCACAACATCTCGGAGCGAACATACGTGTGGGTGGCCAACCGCGACAACCCGATCACGAGCAGCTTGCCCGGGAAGCTGGTCGCGAGCAACACCTCTGACCTCGTCTTGTCCGACTCCGACGACCGTGTCCTCTGGGCGACGAAGACGAACAACGTCACCACCGCGGGATCAGGTGGCAGAGGTGCGGTGGCGGTGCTGCTCGACACCGGAAACTTTGTTCTCCGGTCGCGGAACGGCATGAAGATATGGCAGAGCTACGATCAGCCAACTGACACCTTTCTTCCGGGATTCAAGCTGTGGGTGAACTACAAGACCCACGTAGCAGCGCGCATCGTTGCGTGGAAGGGCCCTGACGACCCGTCCACCGGCGAGTTCGTCTTGAGCGGCGACACCAGCACGGGCCTCCAGATCCTGACCTGGTGAGGGTCGAGTCTCTACTGGCGCGCCGGGGTGTGGAACGGCGCCACGGCCGCCAGCTTCACCAAATCCTTCTTGTCCCAGATGATCGATGACGGGGAGATGGCGTACTTCACTTACAACAGAGCCGACGACTCGGCCCCGGCGAGGTCGCACTGGAAGCTCGACCACACGAGCGAGGTGATGTTCAGGGTGTGGGTGGAGGGGTCGTCGTCGTCGTCATGGGTGCCCCTGTTCGAGCGGCCGGGCAAGGGGTGCCTCGTCTACGGCGCGTGCGGGCCGTTCGGCTACTGCGAGGTCAAAGGGGCCGTCCGGGAGTGCAGGTGCCTCGTCGGGTTCGAGCCGGCCGACGGCGGCGACTCCTCCAAAGCAGGGTGCGTGAGGAAGGAGGCGCTGAGATGCGGCGGCAACAACAGTCAACGGAGGTGGAATGAGCTGATAAGGGAGGAAGATGACTCCACCTTGCACGTCTGCTGACTCCTGTGACCATATATACGTCTGTGCCAGTTGCAGTGACTGGCACTGGCACACCACACCAGGGTTGTAAAGTTAGACCCGTCTAGCTAGTCCAGATTTGACAGGAAGCCAAAATGGACCCGTCTGATGACCCAAACTGGCGTTGAGGCCAAACGGCCCTTGTTGCTGCTTGATCGATGCGGGGAAACAGAAACCGCAAAGGACACATCATGGCATCACAGGGGCATCAGCAGCAAAGGATGCAGAGTTATCTCCAACTCTTTTTGGTAGGATGGAGTGTCACTTCGAGGGTCGATGAATGTTGTAAATTGAGCTCGGATCACTTGGGCCTTTAAAATAAATACTAAGTCAAAAAGCATATTCTAAAGTTTTCTTAAACTTGAAAAAATATGGAATTGCGCCCTCATTTGTATCCATGTTATATCAACAAGAGATGTTATGTGGTATGAGAGGACTATGTCTGACCATATTATTTTAGAAAAAAAATGGCACATCATACACTATTCTCACAGATAAATAGCTCAAGCGCACCAGCATGATCGAGGTTCTACAACACAAATTGATACAGATTGTGCTATCAACACCAAGTAGAGAAAATATAGAGCAATTTCTCGCAGGCACAAGCACTAGTTATTCTACAACCTGAAGTTTACAAGCAAAAGGAATTTAAAACGTGTCTGACCAGATCATTTCAGAAAAAAAAACACTATTCTCACAGATAAACATCTTAACTGCACCACCATGAACGGTGTTCTACAATACAATCAATACTGATTGTGCTATCAACACCAAGTAGAGAAAATAGAGAGCAATTTCTCACAGGCGCAAGCACTAGTTATTCTACAAACTGAAGTTTACAAGCAAAAGGAATTTAAAACGTGTCTGACCAGATCATTTCAGAAAAAAAAACACTATTCTCACAGATAAACATCTTAACTGCACAACCATGAACGAGGTTCTACAATACAATCAATACTGGTTGTGCTATCAACACCAAGTAGAGAAAATATAGAGCAATTTCTCACAGGCGCAAGCACTAGTTATTCTATAACTGGACTTTACGAGCAAAAGGAATTTTAAATGTATCAACGTTACTACAGTTTGTTGTGTTCAATACATGATACCTGGAATAACCATTTCTGAATGTGCCACCATGATTGACTTTGGAAATTGCATTTGACAAGAGCACCCCAGCAATCATTGCCGCCAGCAACAAGCAATTTTTCTGATCCCACCACATCTCTTGTCAAGACATATTGTGCATCTTCTCTGCCCTGTGGGCATGTCATCGATCATGCCAGAAGCAGTAGTTGTGCAAAGTTGAGTCAACCAGATAATCCCAGTGAAGGTGGCCCTCCTGCTTAATTCATGAATTTGACTTTCTATGACCGATTTTGCCATTGGATGGCACGAAAACATGCAATTTTCATCCAAGTATTTCAGTCATCAGATCCCCTATCATCAGAGGCAGAGCCCCTGTCACGGCGAGGAAAGCTATTCTGCTGTGGCTGAGAAATCCAGTGCAGCCCATCGAGCAATTCCGAGTACATCCTCTGGTCCAACGCGCCTCGCTTCCTCTCTTTCAGCTCCTCCAGCAACTGGAACGCGTCCTCTGTCCGCGTAGCTCGGCACAGCTCCTCGAGCAGCGTCCTGTAAGTGATCATGTCCGGCTTCCTCTTGCTATCCAGCATATCCAAAAGCACCTCTCTCGATTCCTCGAACCTCCATTCCAGCGCCAGCGCGGCCACCGCGGACATGTACACGCCACCGCTGGGCACGAACCCCTTGTCCCTCATCGTCTTGAGATACAGCAACCCGTTGTCGGTCCTGCCCTTCTGGAACATGGCCTTGACGATGTAGCCGTAGGTGAACTCGTTGGGGTCGCAGCCGTAGAGGGGCATTTCGCGGAACACCTTGAGGGCGTCGTCCACCTCGAGGCACCGCCCGTACGCCTTGATGATGAGGTTGAGCAGGTAGGTGTCCGGGACGACGCCCGTGGCCTTCATCTGGCGGGAGAGGGACCTGACGGCGTGGAGGTAGACCAGCGACGCCGGCGGGCGGCGGACGCGGCGGACCACGGTGCTGAGGAGCAGCGTGAAGGTCTCGACGTTGGGGCGGCAGCCGGCGTTGGCCGGGAGGGCGCGCATCTTGTTGAACACGTCGAATGCGACGGGGAAGAGGCTGCGGCGGTCGCAGCAGAAGCGGAGGCAGGCGTTGAAGAGCTGGAGGTCGGGGGGACAGGCCCCCGCGAGCACGTCGTGGATGAGGTTCTCCGCAGCGACGGGGCGCTTGCCGGAGGAGGCGGCGTTGAGGGCGGCGATGTAGGAGGCCGGCGCGTGGCGGAAGCCCGGGCGGAGCCCCGCCCAGCGGAAGAGCGCGAGCGCGAGGTCCGGGTCCTGCTCGGAGTTGATGGCGTCGGCCAGGTCGCACGCGGTGAAGCCCGGGCGGAGCCGCGTGACCCACGCCGCGAACTGGTCGTCCGGCGGGGAGCGGACGGGGGACCGCGGCTCCCAGGCGGGCGCGGAGCCCTCGGAGTCGCCGAAGAAGGCGGAGGAAGAGGTGGTGCGGAGGTGGTGAGGCTTTAGGAGCCGGAGGGCCCGAGGAAGGCGGCGGACGGCGGCGAGGAGCGCCATGGCGGGTGGTCGGCGGCGCGGCGGCGTCTCCCTAAAGCGCAGGAGGAGGAGAGATCGGAGCGACGGTGGAAAGGTCACGCGCGCGAGAAAGGCCTCGCCACGCGGGCCGGTGAAAACGGGCCGGCAAAAGAATTAGGCCCAGTGACCCATTTGACAGTACTCAGACTTACTCAGACCATGGAGATGCTGCCGTCCGTATCGTCGGCCTTCTCCCGGCGCCGTTGACGGCGGAGGCGGCGGGCGAGGGAGAAGAGGCCCGCGGCGAGGGCGACGCCGAGGAGGTCGGCCGCGGCGTCCCTGAGCGAGGCGCCGGAGGACCCGAAGAGGCGGGTCTCGTCGGCGGCCTCCTTGGCGGCGCCGACGGCGAGCGAGGCGGCGCAGCCGAGGGCCAGCGCGCGGCGGCGGAGGAAGGGGCGGGAGCTCCGTCCGGCGAGCGCGGCGGCGGCGAGGGCGATGAGGAGGCAGGCGAGGACGTGCTGCAGCTTGTCCGGCGCGAGCCACTCGTCGCCCCACTCCATCAGGGACCAGCCGCCGCTGCCTCTGTCGATGCAGTGGAATGTCTTCTCTCTCCGCCTTTGTTAGTGCTTATACAAAGCAGAACTCCGGTGGAGTGCATTACACATAACCATACGTTTCTATACTACTTATAAAAGAGCAAACATTATCTTTCCTAAGTGTATCTATACTACTTATAAAAGAGTAAACATTATCTTCCCTAAGTATACCCCATAAAACGTACACGGATATATTACCACCGCATGATTAGTCCCACTAAACTCAATCTAACAGCTAGCCCTATCCTAATCTGTTCTCCGTGTGCACTTAGCAATTTACATTGACTGACCGTACTCCACCGTGAAGGAAAATATGAAAGTCCACGCCTGGTCAATTAGGAAACTATAATCACGGATACATCCTATTAAGAAACTAATCACGGGCACATCTAATTATTAGAAAACTAATCACAAACACATCCTATTATTAGGAAACTAATCATGGGCGCATCCTATTATTAGAAAAATAATAACGAGCGCATCCTATTAGGAAATTAATCACGGACGAATCTAATTATTAGGAAACTAATCACGGTCGCATCTAATTATTAGGAAACTAATCACGGACGCGTCCTATTAGATAACTAATCATGAACGCATCTAACTATTAGGAAACTAATTGCGAACGCATCCTATTGTCTCCTATCAGGGAATCGCGATCGCGAGTCGCCTGCCGTCACCAGCCCACCACCCACGAGAGCCACAATGGGAGACAGGCAAGGAGGAGCTGCGGCTTCCTCTGAACACACACACGTGCCATCACCGCCTTCGTCTTCTACCTGGAGGCCAGGTCACTCTTCTACTGACTGCAACGACTTCGTCCACGTCCTGGGCATGCTCTCTGGGAATCATCGGCATCCGCGTCGACTTCAGCTCCGTCCACAACACCCACGCTGACAACCACCCGACGCCTTCAAGTAGGGGCAACGCTGAGTATCCTGGACCGGTATAAGCGGGCCAAAAAAATCGAGTGGGGGCATTCGCCCCCACAGTCATGCATGTTGATTCGCCTGGTCGCCAACCATATTCGTCCACAGGGCGGCGCCAAGTCTCGGCAACTGCGCAGCAGGTGAAGCTAATCACGGCCCCATCTCACTCGCCCGAAGCCACCGCCGACTCCCTTAGCTCTGACGCGTGCTGCTCCGTTGGACACGCTTGTCCAGTACTCACGCGTGGACGACGTCGTCCAAAGACATCCTACCTTCGTCGGACGCTGGAACTCCCCACGCCCCGGTGCGTGGAGGCCGCCGCCTCAAAGCTGGACGACTGACTCACCTGCGTCGACAATGCCCCCAGCTGGTGAGAGGACACGGTCGCCGCGGAAGCTCGCAGGCCTGAACGACGGAGACGCTCGCCTTCACACGAACGCGCCGCACACACGCACTAATCAGGTAAGTACAGAGTGCTGTTTTTTACTGTCATCGCTATCTCGCTGGTGGTGACACATCTAGAAGTACAGGAACTAGAGATGAGGCAATGAGAAACAGAGGAGCGCTGGAGCACACACAGTTGGGTTTCAGGCAACCATTGCCTTCTTTCTTTCTTTATTTTTCACTGATTTTCGCGTACCTGCAACAGACATTCTTACTTTTTTAAGTACTGACTACCGGTTATTACATGGCCAGCTCACGCCTACACAGTGAACTCACAGACAAATTGACTGAACCAAGACCTTACGTTTCACTGAAAAAAACCAAGAAGTTTGCATAAGTTTTAGTGGAAAAAAACTAAAGTTCACATAAGTTTTACTAAAAAAAACCTGAAGTTTGCATAAGTGTATCTGTTTGTCCAGCAGATACATGGCAATTTTATACAATTCTTATCTACAGTCCTTATCTACAGTTGAGTTAACATGTTTTCCTGATAGAAAACTTGGACCACATATAAGAGAAGCAAAAAATGCATGTTGATTATGATGATGACGAATGTAGGATATTTTGTGGTCATGGTAAATTCTCATATCATTTATTTTATTTCATTATTGCACTCTACATTACATATTACGCACGACCTATTTGGTAGAGATGATGAGTTCGCATCATACAAAGAGACCAACCATGTTTCTCCGAATATCTTGAATCATGATCCCTATGACTTCATCTCTACTACTTATAAGAAGTACATTTTTTCATTTGACTATTTCCTGGCTTGAGAGGTAAGGTATGTTTTATCCACTAGAGTTGCTAAAATTGGAAGCATGTCTGCAGTTTTTTTCTTTCTAAACCGGTATTTGTTGGCCTTTTTTTGCCACTGTTATTCTTACAAGTGGTAGCCTACGCATGTTGAAGACCATTTCCAAATTATTTATCTTCGTATCATTATTACTACAAACTGAGAGGATATTTGTTCTATTGTCAAAATTTTAGAATGCTGAGCCCTTAAAGAAATGTGTAGTACTCAAGTAACTGTTCGAAGTTGTCATATTAATGCTTTTGTCCAGTGAATAACAAGTATAATTATGCCATTTATCACTGTAATTTTTATTTGGTTTACATGTTCTATTTTCATAATAAAATAAGTCACTTTTCTTGCTTCCAGACATTACAACACTTGTGGCGCAATAGTAGAATCGGATGGTCCAACTAGCATTTTTTTGGTCTTGTTTCACAGCTGATTTTATGCAGTCAAGACATCTCTACACTTATCTATTTGACAATGGCTTCCTTTTTTCAACAAACCATGGTCTCTTCCCACTATTGTGGTTGACACTCAATTATAATAATAATTCTTGACTGGAGTTTGTTGGCACTGAAACGGTTCCTTAGCTTGTCCTAAGTGACATTTTCATGTGTGATTATACTTGCATAAATGTGTGCATATGAAGAATCATGATGAATCTTCTAAATAATTTTGAGTTTTATATATTGGGAAAAGTGGGTGGTCTTTTAATACAGGAGACATGTTGATTAAGAAGAAACGATATTGATTAAAGAGAAACGATATTTCAAATTATTTGTACAAGTCGGGAATAAGAGATTGTGTACTTTATAAGAAAATTTCAAACTTACGAAAAAATTGTCTTGTATTAAGTTTAGTATAATGTGTTAATCCGAATAGACGCGTGTTGCACGTGCATACTTATTAGTCCAAATAGACGTGCGTTGCACGTGCACACTTACTAGTTACTACAAATAGTACTACTCCCTCGTTCGTTTTTATAAGGCGTTTCAGACAGCTGGGTTTGAACTGTTTAGTACACTGTCTGAATTTGCTAAAACGTCTTATATAAGTGAACAGAGGGAGTAGTAAACTCGTGGTGATGCTTTCTAGCTTGCAATCGGATTGGGCAAATCCGACCCCTAAACGTGTGTGGGATGCGTCCGCAGACGATGCCGGTTTGTCCGTCATTTGTTTGTTATTTTAATCACAATCCGTATTTATGAACGCTTAAATTCATACTGGCAACACAACGATCATTTTACCATACGTACTACTGTACATGTTACATGAACAAACAAGCTAAAAACAAGCAAACTATCCTAATCTATTCGTCGTCATCGGAGGTGTAGATGACCCTCCAGGACGGACGGACTGGCCTCGTGGTCATTGGCAGGGCGAAACTCCAACTCCTCTTCCTCGTCGTCGAGGTTCGTGAAGAGCCACTCCCGCCTCATGTCGGCGAGGTGGATACGGCGACGGTTCGCAACCACCTCTAATGGATTGGATCTAGTCAAGGATGGCCGCTCGCTTCGCCTCAAACCGCGTTGCCGCCTCGGTGGCTTGGGCGTGTTGGAACTTCATCTCCGCCTCCTCCATGTCCTCTGGGGCCTCCTCCGGTACCTCCTCTTGCTCCGCCACAATTTGAGCAGCGCGGTGTGCCTCCTCGGCAACACGCATCTCTGTGATGATTTTCGCCCGGAGCTTGGACATGAGCATCTTGTAGTAGGTTATTTTCTGCAATACAATGTCATAATCAAGGAATGATGACAACATTCCAAAAAGTTGGGAGGGGTAAAAATTCCTCTCCGGAGATGGACGATGGTGATGGAGAGGAAAGAGAAACATGTCTATAAGTCTCACTCTGACGTCTAGCACGGGTCAACCCAGTGGGAGGAATAGAGAAAAGGAGAAACTCAAGGGAGAAGGAGAGATATAGGCGATGAAACAATATCAATGAGTTGATGATGACAAGAAACGAGTACACCGAGAAGAGAAAGCAAGAAAAGTTAGAGATGAAGGAGAACTAAGAAAAGAGAGTGAGATAGGATGATATGCTAGAGAGCAGACAATGTCAGAAAGAGATAGAGGCATGTATGCTTGAAATTCAGGAGCGTCGAATGACAACTAAACAAATAGTAGACGAGAATTGGTTTATCATGTTGGATCAGAACATGAACAAAATGTGATTTGTAAATGTCGCCGGTTAAATGCTTCTGTTCACATGGCTTGTTATAAACTATATGCATACTTGCTTGATATGCTAGACATTTAAATTTGAAGAGAATCAAAAGTGTTTAAATGAGAAATAAAAATAGAGCACATCTAGATCTGTCCTAGTTATTGCACATCCATCTAAGTGACTCAATCAAGCATTTATATCAACAATAATGATGTCTCAACATAACAATTGTCACCGCAGTAATTTTATTATAGTCGACAGAAAATATCAAGTCTCATATAACAACGGTTCGTAGCCAATAATCTTGATTTCACACATATAAAATACTCAACACAAATATAAATTTAACAAATGTCTTTCATATAAATGGAAGAGGTAAAACACTTCCATCGTCTTCACTTGAGTCTTCAAGCCCAGTTGCTGCATAGAATAAATTAAAAATTGCGAGAATCAATGTACGGTAAATGAATAAACGAAACTAACATAAACAAAGCAAAAAGATGTACAGTTACATATAAATAGATGAAGTAAAACAGATGCACCGTGCTCACTTCTGTCTTCAAGCCCAGTTGCTGCATAGAATAAATTACAAACTATGAGAACCAATGTATAGTAAATGAAACAA